GTCTTTATCATGGCTGCTATCGATCCGGTCGAACCCCACTGTTAAAGATAACAGGTTAGGTCTGATGAGTTCATAGATCTGTCCATGTTAAATAGTCGATTGTTCACATGTTGTAGTCCCTTTTCTACCTGAATTGTCTATTTCAGCCGATTCGCTTGTGCTTTCACACATACAGCATATCTTTAAGAAAACCTATTAATATATAGTCGGTTTTATGGATTCTTCGGTTTTAGTTTGTTATTATCATCATAGCTGCCATCGATCCGGTCAAATCTCACTGTTGATGGTAACAGATTAGATTCAGAGTGTTTGTAGATCTCTTTGGACTAGACAGTCGATTTGTTCGCATGTTATATCCTTTATCGTTAGATTCATCGGCTCAATGCTTTACATTGGTAATATCCACCTAGCTGATGATTTTACTTATATCTGCGTGCATTGTACTTGTCATCATAAAATCAATCGCAACCCATTTAGTCGATTTTTTCGTCTGGCTGCTCCCGAAGCGGCACACTTGAAACTGTCTGGGCAAAACCGGTATGTTCCATCTTAAATTACTGATAAACTTTCTCTCCGTATCAATTGCAGGTCAAATTGACTGGCACGCCTTCGGCAATTCGCAGGTTCGACTAGTCCTGCGTTGAAGCCAAGCGGATCTCTAGGCTCATCCTAAGCAAATCCTTCCGGCTTGCTGTGTGCTAGGCGCATCGACACGTTTTTACGCCGACAAGTGCATATTTTTCAATGTTGCAGTACATGTTTTTCGATGTTGCACTACATATTTTTTTCAATATTGCAGTATATATTTTTCACTGTTGCAGTACATGTTTTTCAATGTTGCAGTGCATGTTTTTCAATGTTGCACTACATATTTTTTTCAATATTGCAGTATATATTTTTCACTGTTGCAGTACATGTTTTTCAATGTTGCAGTGCATGTTTTTCAATGTTGCACTACATATTTTTTTCGATGTGGCAGTATTTATTACCCGATGTTGCACTACATAATTTTTCTATTTGTTTTGCAATATTGCAGTTGAAGTGTTTCATGCTCTTTTGGGATAGGGATGCGGTTGGGGAATGGGAGAACAGGGGCGCGGTGGGGAGCGAAGGACAGGGGCGGGTTCCGTTCTATGCGAGGAGGAGGGGGGTTTCCATAAAAGGCCGATGTGCGAACGCACTCACATGCTGGACGTCCGAGCGCTAGAATCACCTGTATATATAATATACATACACGACGTAGTAGTAAAGATTTCCAGAGAATGTCGACGGCTTCCAACCTAGAATGTGAAAGGTTTCAAAGGGAAGGCCGGAAGGGAAGAGAAGAGAATGCAGTAGAAAATCCCGTGACTCGGGGTCTGTGTGTGTGCACGCGTGTCTGTCACCCCTGTAGTGCTGTACCGAGAGGCCCCATGCGGTAGGCCCCATGAACAAGGGAGATGTGTGTGGCGTGGCGAGGCGGGTTCGTTGGAGCTGTGGAGCCACTCGAGTTAGCTTGGATCCTTATGCTGGGCCGTGGCTGTGGAGCAAAGCACCACTGCCCGCCAAGTTCAAAGTTTCTCTCCTCCTCCGTTGCTTTTGCTTGTTCGGTTCTTTGACTGTGGCTGAATAGTTGTGATTTATGAGTTCCAACTTTAGCATCGCCCAACTCAATTTAAATGCCGATGTTCTTAATTTGTGGAAATCTTCCTAGTTACGTACTTACGATATACTCGTTGAAGAAGAGCTATGGATTTTTTTTTTTTTTTTGTCTTTGTCAAAGATGGAGGGCTAACCGTGGAGATTAGGTGAGTGCTCTTCCGCCAATTCCCGATTTTAAAGGGTTCCGGTTTCATGAGGTTGATCAAGGGAAATTTGTTTTTTTTTTTTTGGAGGTGTTTCATTGTAGGGCTATGTGATCTGGGGATTTCTTTGAATTTGAACTTTTTTTTGAAACTAGGTGTAATCTCATTACTCAAAGGCTAACAAGTTGTTAGCGACAATTACATGAACAAATTCAGGAATTCAGGAATGGAACAATTTGCTTCTCTCCTTGATTACACAAATGACCCAGCGCGGCCAGCTTATCAGCGGCTCTATTACAAACCCGGCTTTTAAAGGAGCACTCGAAACAGACGAAAAGCAGAGGACACTAAAAACCATATCTCAATGATCTAAACACCTACAACAGCATTATCATGCTCATTGGTGCCAATTGCCTGAACCACCATCTTCGCATCAGTCTCGACAATAAGTTGGCCGATCCACAAATCAACAACTGATTGAATCACATGTACACAAGCAATGAGTTCAGCCTGAAAGGCATTTAGGAGATAATCTATCTTCCCTCTTCCTGTAACAGCCACATCCCCTTCGTCTCAGATAAAAGAACCCTAGCTGCCTGACAATTTGATCCCATATACTTCCCAGTTTGAATCCTTATTCGCAATGCATCTCGGTCTATTTCAACCGATCTGATTCCAGTTTCAATTGACATGTGGTGCTAAAGGATCACGATGGACAAAAATTGGGCGGAAGGAAGGAAATCAGCCCCTGGGTGCGGATGACGGACTAGGACCAAGAAACGAAGAGAAAAATGACAGGTGAAGAAAGTTTTGTGGGGTTAGAGAAGAAAACGACGGACGAAATAGGGATAGTTTTGGAATAAAAAAGCAGGTTACAAGAAATGCTTTGTTCTTTAATAAAGATATAAAGATAAGAGAATTCGGGACCGGTGAACCTTTCAAAAGACTGTTCACAAATCTTAAACTAATTTAAAATTAATTAAATATTTTCTTAAATTTAATTACCCGCGTGTCCTGTTTGGGCCTGACCCAACGCAAGGTCAGTCTGAGCCCAACCCATTGCCGATGCAAGCCCCGTCGAGGACTCCAGGCAACTTCCCTCACCACCGTGCGGCCGTACCGTCTCGAGTACCAAAAAATTTAGCACCAGTAAAGAATATAACTGCAGTGACATTTTTTTGTGATAAAAGGTTACTTTTTCAAAGGAATTCAAGACAAGAACTTGAGTGCTGTTACAATCTCACATAAATGCTTCCGTAAAAAAAATAAGAATCAAATTCAACAAACCTGTTTTCATGTATAAGCAGTCCTCGTTCTTCCATGTTGGTTTATTCCGATATCGGGATTCCCATTAATTTAGCACCATTAATTTACGATAATAATACCATCGGTACGTCCGGCCTTTCTCGACGGGACGGACGCGCCTGCCTCTACGCCTCGCGTTGCGTGCCCCGCGCCAAAGGACGAGGCGAACGCGCCTACCCTGGCGCCTCGCGTCGCGCCCCCTCCCCACGCTTCGTGCCTCACGCCAAAGGACGGAACAGACACGGCTACCCCCGCGCCTCGTGCCTCCTGTCGTGCCGCAATCCATCCGCATGTCGACCATAGGCGACCTCAAGCTCCGCGCTAGTGTCGAGCTCCGCTTGAAAAGCAAGTAGATGAGCACATGTTGCAACCATATGTTTCATGCGTTTGCATATGTTTTATCTGGATGTTGCAAAAGTAGTTTTAGTGTTATATGTTGCAATGACTATACACGTATGTTGCAAGTGTATGTTTCAAATGTTTGAGTTGTTTTAAACGTATATTGCCAGTGTTTAATCTCGATGTTGCATATGTTGCACTGGCTATACATGTATGTGTGTAAGTGTATGCCTCAAATGTTTCATCTGTTTGAAACGTATGTGGTAAGTGTTTTATTTGGATCTTGCATATGTTGCAGTGTCCATACACATATGTTGCAAGCGTATGTTATAAATGTTTCATCTATTTTTGGACGTATGTTGCAGCAAATACTTTTTACGTTGCAAGTGTTTCATTAGCAGGCATGACTAGGGTGTACAGGCAGAGGTGGTCCCTCGGGCGCAACAGTCCCTGCGTGCGCAAAGCTGGACGTGGAGCACGAAGCTGCATGCATGCTCAGCAGCTCTCTCTCCTTATTCCAACTACATGCGGCCGGTCAGTAGCAGCATCACGCACGAGCAGCAGCATGCGGGCAGCAGGAGTGCGCGGCCAGGCATGGGCCGTCGCTGCCGCTCCTAGTGGCAGCGGGCGCGACAGGACCCAGCGGCATAGGCACGGGGAAGGAGCACGCGCAGGCGCTGCATGGGAAAACCGAACACGGGGTGGATAGCAGGCGCGGGGTGTCCGGACGCAGCGCTCGCGCCGGACATCCGGGCGATTAATTTAACACTAAATGGCACAAGGACCAGAATTCCCACAAAAACAACCTTGGTGAAGATGCATTGCACGAGTCCTTCTTTGCATTAGTAGATCTTGGAACGTCATTGCTCCATGAATGAAACACTATAGAGATGAAGAAAAAAAAAATAAAATTAACGATTTTACTTGTGCATGCCATGATCTAAAACACGATCACGAATTTGCAATCCTAATACAATATAGCATGGTGAGAAACAACAGTTCAATGGATGAGCAAAAAGAATGGTGCGCCCTGTTGACCAAAGCACATGTGAAAAACGATGGTTCCATGAATGGGTAACAAAAGATCTGAATCTTGTGGTCTGCACTACGTGAAAAACAGTTTGTAGCAACGGAGCTTTTTCTTTTTAGGGGCGGCTAGCATAGGAGCCGGCCCTACAGTGACGTACTCCGACTCCAGCACAACAGCCGCCCCTATAAATGGCACATACCAGCCGCCCCTACAAATCGAATCGATTTATAGGGGCGGCTCGTATTACCAGCCGCCTCTACTGTGTCCATTTGTAGGGGTGGCTGAATCATCGGCCTCCCCTACAAATACCCGTTGTATATATAGTAGCTACATTCTTTCACGAGAAAAAAAAATCCAAACCCTAACTCCCTCTCGCGCATCCGCATCCGCCTCTCCCTCTCCCTCCTCTCTCGGCGGCGGCTCCCTCTCTCTCTTGTCTCCGCTCTCCTCCCTCCCTCTTCTCTTAGCGGCACAGGAGGGCCCAGGCGCGGTGGTCCGGCGTGGCAGCGCGGCGGCCCCAGCGTCATGGCCTGCGGACCCCCATGCGGAGGTGGCGTGGCGGCGTGGTGCTAGGTCTTCCTCCACTCACATCCGTCGCCGCCCCGAGGGCTCCTCCGAGTTCGCACCCACGCCGCCACCCCCAGCACCCTCCCCGACGGCCGCACTGCCTTCCCCGGGCCGTCCTCGAAGCCAAAGCCGCCGGCCCCGGGGACCTCCTGGATGCCCGCGCCGCCGTCCCCGAAGACCTCCACGACACCCGCGCCGCCGCTCCGGAGCCCTTCCCGAAGCCCGCGCCGCCGCCACCAATAACCTCCTCGACGTCCGAGCCACCACCCCCAAGGCCATCTGGACACCTGCGTCGCCGCTGCCCCCCAGCGCCCCCCAGAGGCTCACGCCCCAGTGTCCTCTCCGGCATCGGCACCCATGCCGCCACCACCGCACGGGGCCAAGCCGCACCAACCCGCCCGTATGATGAGGTGCCCTCTCTCTCTCTCCCAACCTCCCTTTCAGATCTGCTCTCCCAACCTCAAATCAGATTTGCTAATTCTGAATGATATGCAAATTATTGCCTAGTTAGGTTTCTCACATGCTATAAAGCGTTGGTTCAACTGAAAATTGAAATGGTGCAAATTATTGGCTAGTTAGGTTGGGGACGAACGCTGGCTGCAGGGCCATCAGATAGGCATGTATCCAGACAGTCCAGATCGGAATGGAAGGAAGCAGTGAATTTACAGCTTGTCTGTCTCCTTCCCCTTGTTCCAAGTAGCTAATCAATATCTGTGTTTGATTTGGATCAGATCTGCTGCCAAGTAGCAGCAGCAATGGCATTCATTTTGAGTATGTTAGATTTGATTTTTTTTCTAATAATGTGATTATTTCAGTCCTATAGTCTTAGCAGAATTCATTAAGTTGAGCCAAGACTGCAACCTTTTTGTTTATTTTTTTTGTGCCACGAAACAGCATATGCTTGCTTGATTTGTTAGTGTGTTTTTGTAATGACAGAACAACTAAAGGTGACTTGCTCATCATTTGTATGTGCCAGGATTGGTTAGTTGTTCTTTTGTTTTCGGGAGAATTTATTCAGTTCAGGCTTCAGAAAGATGTTATATGGAACGTTATGCATGGTATAGCTGGGGCTTGGGAGTTTATTACAGTAGTCATCATCATACATCTATCGAGCTCACGCCGTGAGTTGAAATGTACAAATTGTGTAATACATGACACAGTAAAGGGCTGTCCTTCTGAAGTGTGTAAATCACTACAGCTAGAGCTAGCTGTTAGTAGGATGGCTTACAGCCTTACCCAAGGGCAAAAAATGCTTGTGCAGAAATGATCGTTTTATGTAATTACTAACATATGTCCTGTCTTTTCTGAAGCATTATGCACCGATTAACTCTTGGTCTGTCTTCATATATTATCAGTCCAGGTTTTCCTGCCTTTTTTCCCCCACATGATCATGTCCTTATGTCAGGTGACGTGTGTTTCACCATGCTGCATTGCACAACTGTCAATTAACACATACTAATATATGTCATTGCATTTATTTTCTTTCTTGCTCTAGGTTCTTTCACTCTGCAGTTCATGCTTCACATATGTGATGATTTTCTCTTGATGATCACATTCTGTCATGTAATTCTGTCATGTAATATGCAGTTATGTTTTTTTTTGCAAGAAATGCAGTTATGGTATATTAATACACCTACCAGTAACATTCAATGATATGTTGCATTGCTCATTTTTATTTTGAAATCTAAGGATGCCTTACATTGCCCTTTTCCACTGAAACTATGTGTATTGATTATGGTGTGAAGCCACAAAGAAAGCAGTTAGCAATCCTGTTCACGATTGTATTTTGTGAAGGCCCATAGCATCTGTTCCTTAATATGAAATGGAAATAGGTGATGTGCATCATGCATGATAATTCTAAACATTTGGTTACATGAGAGATGCCTGCCCTGTAATTGCAGCAAAGTATGTTTGCGTTTTACTGCTTTTCAGTTTTCTATATCTCATAGTTAATTCTGTGGAATTGATTTTTGCAGCATGATTATTCAATTCGTATATTCACTGGGCACTCAGCATCTGTTATGTCACTTGATTTCCACCCAAACAAGGATGACCTCATTTGTTCTTGTGATGGGGACAATGAGATACGATTCTGGAGCATCAAGCATGGAAATGTTGTCCGAATTTTCAAGGTTTGTCAGCTGGACTTAGTTTTTTGCCGACCTGTAATTTTCTTCTTGTTGCTAACACACAAAAGAGTTGTCCACCTGAGTAGCAAGCATTGATAATATATGTATACCGTTGTGAGTAGCATGCTGTAAAAGAGTAAGCTATCGCCAGGCATAATCAGCAACTTGTCTCAAATGTGACAATACTATCTCCTGTGTTTTTCTATTTTTTTTCTTGAACATGTAGAGAGCTGCACGGCCATTGTAGTAAGAGGATTTTTCTGTATGCTATACCTTTTGTAGGGAGGTTCGGCCCAACTGAGATTCCAACCACGTTATGGAGGATATCTTGCAACAGCTTCAGATAATGTAGTCTCTATCCTGGATGTGGAGACACAAACTTGCGTGAGGAGATTTGAGGTTCGTAAGTGACTGAGGGAGGTGCACTCTAGGACAGTTTGCTTAACTTAAATATGTTTGCAAGTCACACCTTGCTAGCTGTGCGCCCCTACTGATGCAGAGGCTGGAACCTTATTATTGGAACAATCCTTTATCTAAAAATAATCTTGCTAACTGTAGTCAGCATTCATTTATATATTAATCACTATAGTTCCCCTGTTATTGAGAAGAGGTCACTTGAAGCAACCCTGATAATCTGATTTCTTGGAAACTGCAGAGCCACACTAAGGGTGTTGATTCCGTGTTCTGGGATCCCACTGGCGAATATGTGGTGTCTGTCAGTGAAGACAGTGTGAAGGTGTGGTCTTTGAACGATGAGAGCTTTGTGAATGAGCTTAACTGCAGTGGGAGAAAGTTCACTTCATGTACTTTCCATCCTACTTATCCATCCTTGCTTATCATTGGCTGTTACCAGGCAAGCAACTTTCCCTTGCATGTCTTTACTCACTGTTGACTGTTCATTCCAAAACTATATTGCATGGACCTATGGTGCCTGTCTTTGAATGGTGGTTTTCAACTTCATACACTGACCTTCAACTATCCAATATCTAGATTTCAACTGCTACTAGTTCCTCTTTTAGTAAGGATAGAGAAATGCCGGTCTTCTAAAAGAAGTGATACTGTATGTAGTGTCACAAAAATATCAATCTGTTGTATGTCGTAACTGTTGTAGGACAACTCTGAACATTTGCTGCCATAAAGTATCTCTGATATATATGAGTGAATAATAGTTTAGCACAATTTCATGACCACTCCAACTGCTATTTTTCTGCACCCTTCATTCATCTCTGAGATATCTTACCTGTGGTCCTGTGCTGAATGCAGTCTCTGGCAGGGTTTACAATTTCGGCGAAATATCGCCGAAATTTCCGAAATATCGCCTTTTTTGTAGAGGTCCGAATTTTTTTTGTATCGGTTAAAATTTTTCGGTTAAATTCATCTTTCACTCTAAAATTACACCAAACCACAATAAAATGACCCTCCATATCATCTAGTCTTATCAAAGCCCTAAATTTCTTCAAATTTATTTAATTTTCTCACTCACACATTGGACGACACTAGTATATACAGCTCGCCCACCGTCAGCACACTGTATTACCGCGGCTCTACTTCTGTGATATATTATGTTATTTCGTCGATGTTATATAAATTTATAATGAATGATGGATTATAGAGTTTTTCTAGTGAAATGATGCCAAATTTGTTTAAAACTCAATTTAAATTTATTTAAATTTCAACTGATATTTCCGAAATTTCCGAAATTTCGTATTTATCGCTGGGGACCGAAATTTTTTTCTTACCGGTATTGTAAACCCTGGTCTCTGGAGCTATGGGACATGTCTTTCGTACCTTATTATCCTTGCTAAGTGGTGTACAATCTTGGGCTGTAGTTCCTGTTTCAGCTATAGAGCTGTACTTGGATATTAAGAGCACAATTGAAGACTATGTCAGGGTTGGTAACAGACTATAAGGTTTTTATCCCCTTTGTACATGTATAATCTAGCAAGTGTTTGTAATTACTCTTAGTATTTTCTACTCCAGGGATTTACTGAACCCACATCAGACAAACTGCTACCAGATCTACTTCTGGTCGAATTTATTTGTAAATTTGAATTTAAATTGTAAATTTGAATTTAAATTGTAAATTTGCTACCAGACAAAATATATGTTCTGGTCGAATTTGAATTGTAAATTTAAATTTTTTTTACGGAAAAATGTACTCTAGGGGCGGTTGGTACTGTAGCCGTCCCTACAAATCGATTTGTAGGGGCGGATGTTGTTACCGGTCGCCCCTACAAATCGATTTATAGGGGCGGCTGATAATACCAGCCGCCCCTACAAATTGATTTGTAGGAACAGTTTGAAAATCGCCCCTATAAATACATGATTTGTAGAGACGGTATGGTAGGAGCGGCTGGCCGAGCCGCCTCTACAAACCATCGTCAGCCGCCCCTATAAATGCTTTTTGTAGTAGTGCTATTAGAACAACCAGGAAATAAATTTGCACAAAAGGATCTATAAGAACTTTCTTAGGAGCACCAGTTACTGCTAGAATTGTTGCGTGGAACCCAGCCAGATTGCCAACTCCGATCCAAATCTCGACGCACAACCACATGGTCAACGGCAACAAAATTGCATTCGCCCGAAGTCGCCTACTGAAGAACTACTCTCGTCCTGCTTGACCCCTGCGGCGTGAACGGCCGGAGCTGCTTGGCCTCAGGCAGCCGCGGAAGAGGTAGAAAGGTGCAGCCCGCGGCGCTCGTTGTCGTCCTCCAGAGGCGTCTAGGCGTCGGTCCCCATCGAGGCCACGGTGACCGTGGCCGCCAGCGTCGTCGTGGACGACGACGGCACCCGGCTCTAGGCCCGGGCATGGCGACTGTGTCACCGTCTGATCGCAGGGTTTTCATCTCGGGCTATGTCGTGTCGGCATGGCAGTATGGCACCCGGTTTGGTCCACGGAGAGTGGCGTACGTGCTGCCGCGACGAACTTGTTGATAACGAGCGTCGACCGTCGAGGGTGCACCCTGGCTGCCGTGGCCGTTTGCGGCAGCGTGCTCAACTAGGAGTGGATAGAAGAGAGAAGTTAAAAGTGACCAAAACACACCTTACTATTACATTACAACTTTTTAACTTATCTAAAAAAATTCATAACTTTTGCATACCAAGTCGGATGAAAAAAAAATTCATAACTTTTTTATACCAAGTCGGATGAAAAAAAACTTTATATCAAAATTGTAATGCCCAATAAGATCTACAGTTTTGTAGGTCACAACTTTTTAATTGAGAATTATTTAGAGTATAAAGAATATTTTTAAATTCTTAGATTTTGAAATTTAAATTTGGAATAACTGAAATCATTTAGAATCTTAAATATCTATTTTATTATTTTATGTTTTAAAATTTTCTAACGTTTGTGGTATAGATCGTGTCCGTCCAAAGTTGAAATTTCTACATTTCCAATTTTAAAATTTATGAAAATAAAATGAATATTTAGGACTCTAAATGACTTCAGATTAAAAATTTATTAACTACAAAGTTATAGATTGTATTGATAGCCGCAATTTTTGTATATTTTATGTTGCATTTTGAGTCAGTGATAATTTTAAAATTTGAATTTTAAAATATGAGAATTTAAAAAGAAGTATTGACAACTTAGATAGTTTTAAATAAAAAACTTGCCAACTACGATGTTGTAGATCTCATTAAATATATTTTTTTGTATAAAGTTTATCTTCATCCGACTTCATATGTACAATGTTATAAATTTTTTATATAACTATTAAGGGTTGTACTATAATAGTTAGAGGCATTTTGGTCACTTTTAACTTCTCTTTTTCATCCACTCCTAGTTAATACTATTTTAAGTCATAGTGCCATGAGCCAATTACCATAATTGAAGAGTGTCTTCTACAGTATTGAGTAGTGTACATCAGCAAATACCGTCATTGAAGAGTGTCCTACAACAAATTTACCCATCAAAAGGATATGGACCTAAGGTGCACCAATAAACAACATAAGTAGCCTCAAATGTAATTTGAAAGTTCATGAACCTAAATGACACACTCATACAAGTTCAAGGACCGCCAATACATTTAACTCTTCTTCTTGAACTTGGACGGCAACATTAGCAAGTAAACAATTATTGAGGAAACAACATGTTCCACGTTCGAGAGGTCAGGCGTCCTTCCTAATTATGAAGAAAAAATTTGTTCAACAACTGCAACGGCTCCACCACCACTGCCTCCCCACCATCGACGCGGATCCGGCTATCGCTTGTGCATCCAACCCTAGAACCCGGATCTGACTGCTGCAAGGCGGACGAAGTCTACGACAACGCAGCCGCGCTATTCGATATTAACACGACCACTTTGCGCACTACTCTTACTGATAGCACTTATGCAAGGAAGCCCTCGTATTAACCCGTCTTCGCATCGGGGAGGTCCCTAGGACTCCCCTCGCTCGCCAGAGCGGCATTGGTTGGCACTAGACAGTTATGTCAGCCAACTAGGGACCCCTACGGCGTGTCTACAGGGCTGATGCTCACCTGTGGGCCCACGCGCAATGATGGGCCACGATTAGGAGACCAGGGACGAATTAGAGCGGCTCCTCCCCATCGGCGGGCAACCTGCGACGACGACGGCGGTGTTTCGGTGAGCTATGGCGCTAACTGAGCAGTAGAGATAGCGAGCAAGCATCAGGGACTCACCGTGGACCTGGCCGAGGTAATGGTTCGGCCGGGGACTACCCGGGCAGGGCTGGCCACGCACGACCGAACGGTGCGGCGACGCATAGCGGCAGACACGACCGCGTCAGCAATGCTAGGGTACCGGTAGAGGTACTGCTGAGGAGTGCAGGGCGAAGAGGGGGTTGAGGCGAAGCTAATGGTGCATCTAGATTTTCTCGGGGTGGTCAGATGGAGGGCTGCCCGCGGCAATGGCTGAACTCGGCCTTATTGAAAGGTCGACATGGCGGACTAGAGGGGGGTGAATAGTCCTTTCTAAATTTAATCGCGCCGGCTAACCAAAACAAATACAGAATTAAAACAATCGGTCTAGCTAAGACCACACCACTCTATTGAAGTTCACAAGCACCTTATAAAGATCCTAATTAGGCAACAAAGGTGACGGGCTAACTAGAGCTCACATATCCAATTCTAGGTGTAAAGTCACACAGACCTATGCCACTAGTATTTTGCACACCGGGGAGCTCCTACACAATTCTAGTAAGCAAAAGCACAAAGCTCCTAAGCTTACTAGCAATGCTCAATAACAAGGCAACCAATGCCAAATTAGAGAGCGCAAATACTTAGCTACACAAACTAAATATTGTGACTAACAAGGTTACACAAACTAAATTAGCCACGCAAGGGAGCTACTTCTATGCTACACAAGCAAGAAGGTAACTAGTAAGCTACACAAGCCAACTAATTACAAGAGCAACTACACAAGCACAATGTATATGAAAGTAATTACAAGCTTGTGTAAGGGGATTGCAAACTAATGGAAAGAACAATGTTGACACAATGATTTTTCTTCTGAGGTTCACGTGCTTGCCAACACGCTACGTCCCCGTTGAGACAAGCTCCAAGGTTGCCGCCGGTCCTCTTGCTAGTGGTGACCCGCAAGTCACACTCTCCCACGAGGAGTGCTTACCACAAGCTCTAGCACTTGACCCGGCCGGACCACTTGTCGCCCTTCGCGTCTCGCTCTCCTAGAGTTGCTCTTCACGGCTCCCGCGGGGGTGAGCACAATGCCCCTCACAAAGCTCTTCTCCGAAGTACCGCACAAGCTTCTTACGGGCTTCGACGGAGACCACCACCAAGCCCTCTAGGAGGTGGCAACCTCCAAGAGTAACAAGCACCACCGGCTTGCAAGACGACCACCTAGTGCCACTCGATGCAACCTCATGATGCAATCGCACTAGAATCGCTCACTCACTCGATCGGATGAACACTATCAAGCTCAAGTGAGTTAGAGGGCTCCCAAGCACTACCACATAAGCCACCATGGCTCTAGTGTGCTCAGCTCCACTAAGCTATTGGCCAAAGGCCGACCAACACTTCTATTTATAGCCCCATGGGCTAATAGCCATTACCCCTTCACTGGGCATTTTTCAGGACGACCGGACTCATAGGTCGTGTGCACCGGACGCGTTCGGTGTGGCGACCAAACGCGTCCGATCGCTACGTCCAGTCATTGCTTGACCGCCACGTGTCCCATTCAAATGAAGTAGCCATTGCCGCCCAATGGCCCTCCCTGACACGGTCTGACATGACGCATTGGACGCACTGCAGCGAAGTGATAGAACGTAGGAGGGGCAGCGTTCGATCGAGTCTAGAGAGCTCCTAGAGCCGCTCAACTGTGACCGGACACCTATGGTGTGGCCAACCAGACATAGGAGGGGCAACGTCTGGTCAAGTCTAGAGAGCTCCTAGAGCCGCTCAACTGCGACCAGACGCGTCCGGTGTGGCCGACTACATGCGCCCCTACGTTCGGTCCTCTCTGGACCAACACCCGCGCCCCACGTCACCACGACCTGACGCTAAACAGTGATTGCTCAGCGTCCGATCACTGCTACGAGCCAGAGTCCAATCACCTTGGCAACTCTGCCCGTTCCTGGCCAGAATACCAGACGCGTCCGGTATCTATATCGGACGCGTTTGGTCACATTAGGAACACTGCTGCCTGAGTCAGATACCGGACGCGTCCGGTCACCCCATGACCAGCGCATTCAACTCCTTTTCTTCACCAACTTCTTCTCCTTTGCAAATATGCCAACACCACCAAGTGTATAACACCTTGTGCACATGTGTTAGCTTTTCACAAACATTTTGAAGGAGTTAACCACTCAACTTGCCACGTCACTCGATCCTAGCAACAATGCAAAGTTAGATCACTCGAGTGGCACTAGATGATCGATATACAAACAAGTTTGCCCCTCTTGATAGTATGGCCATCTGTCCTAAACCCG